CACTTGGAGCTAAAGGAGGGCACTGAGCAATGCTCACAAATAAATTCCCTATTGAGTGCTGGGAGACAACAAAAAGGGCACCATGGTGACTGCAGTTCCCAAGGGAGTAACCAGGAAAGAGGCAACGTTTTACTGGGACAGGTCACTGACCGTGACTCTTGAGCTCACCTTTCTCATACACACAGTGAGCAAGAGGAATGGTATCGCCGTCAGCTCTTAATGTACCAGACGTACCTTTACACACAAACCTCTACATGATTGGCTGGTTAAAAAGCTCCTCTGGACTCATGAACCAATCAGGGTGCTTTATTGCTGTGTTGTTAAGCAGTTAAAAGTACTCACCAAAAGATCCTTCGGGACATTTCATAGCAGCAGGGCGTCCAAATTTTGTCTTGGGCCACCAGATGCCAGAATCAAAGGCCTTTGGGCAGCCCTCATACACCACTGTGGACAGGAGGGTAAGGCTTAAGAACAGTCTTAAAACACAGTGATTACTTTTTACATTGCACGTGGTATGATGCTTAAACTGGGCCTGCTAAAGACAAATGACAAACTGAGGTTCAATCAGCTAAAAAAACCAAACCAAAAAAGCATCGCTTTAAAAGGCAAACGTCCGACCCGGCTGATCCGTTTTAACCACCTTATAAAACAGCCAGACGGAAAATCACACAGAAATTCAACCAAATTAATCCTGCAGAGCTGTTGCACAAGCTGCAAGACATAATTCATGTCAGCGTATTTGACAGCCAGGACAAACCAGATTTGGACCTGCAAGCTTGCACAAGCTATGATGCATAACTTAGCCAGTGTACTTACTCCAAGCTTTTCCATTCAATACAATAAGAATAATTAAAATAAGGAGTGGTTGAAGGTCTTTTTTTAAACCAAATCTACTGTGAAGCTGTGTTTAGTCCAGAACAGATATTGTGGCATGAGGTCTATTAAAGGTAGCTACATCTTAGAGAGTCTTATGAATCTGAAAAAACGCACTAAATCCAACATTTTGGCTAAACAACAATACTCAGGCCATGGATTAGGGTTTCATGTCCTTTAAAAGTCCAAGCACGTTCTCAGCCTCCAAAAGGCTTCCTATTAGGTCAAACAGTAAGCACACTGACATTCATTTTCTGTTGGGGGACTTTGCGGCTTTGTCTTCTGTTCATCTCTACTGTATTGTGTGTGTGCAGTACCGGTGCCAAGTTAGCCACTGAGCCAGACTTGCCTCTTCTGCATGACTGGGTGGTGACAAAGATGCAAAGTTAGCTCGACTGCAGCACCAGCAGATGTGAGCGAC